TGTATATTTTTTATTATAATCATTTATAAAATTATGAACACTTATTGATTAATAATTTACATTTACTAATATAGAAGGTACTCTGTTTAACTGAAAACGGTGGAATATCTCACGAGTGATTGAAGTTATCAAAAGAACATTTTTACAAAACTTATTTGGTATATAGGGGGACATTAAATGGTATAAATAATTCTTCTGTAGGTAGAGTAGGGGGGCGGAGATATTAAAGTCAAGTTAATTATTTAAAATGTTAGAGTTTTTGTTATAATTAGTGCACGCATATTTAATAGATGTTCAAAGTCGTTTTTCTCCAATATGATACCTCATATACAAGAATTTCATTCTACACTTTCTGCTTATTTTGTCACGAGGAATCACCCCTTTCCCGATTGTACCGCATTGTAGAGACACCCTGTATACACTATCTTCTTCAGCTCTCTTCGTTTTTGCTTAACTGACGATCGACAAAGCTGGGTCATCTATGACCCGTATTATTTGCGTGTGTAGAATGTTCATGGGATATAAAGGGTGGGGCAAAAACTTTGTCCACCTGGAATATTTCCATTATTTATAATATGGAAAAGTGTTACATACAAAACTTGCGTAATATGGAGGAGGACCATAGTAATTTGACGAGGGTTACTTTTCGGGTAAACACACGCCACGCTAACCAAGTGGCTGGTGAAGTGAACCATTTCGTATACCTCGTTCTTCTTGGAAAATATGTGCGTTTCAAATTATTGTACAAATCACACTTTTATACAAAACGTTTGTAAATGATTTCATACACTGCAAAGAACGATATGTATAGTCGGGGCCACGATATAGCGAGGTCGTAAAATCGGTTAGGTGTCAAAGTAAACATGTTTTAGCTGCCGGGACCCCGAAATTGACAGAAATACGAGCAGATAAGTACTTGAAACCATGGTCAGGACCGTACAAAGAATTCTTGTATCCAGCGAAAGTCAAACTGATTCTAATATATTTACTGAAAATTGAGTTCAGCTAGGACAATTTAGGGTTTTTTTCTTCTGGGAAAAGCCGCTTTTGGAAGTACGGTTACAAGTAAAGGTCTTATTGAGGTCTTTAACATCTTCATTTACCTGCTCGTGTTAAATACAGTTAGAAAATGCAAAAGGATTGTGTAGCTTTAATATTAACATATAAGTGTCAGTCAGACGGTAGGCCGACTCTATGTAATGTAATACAGGGCGTCTGTTTTATCTCAATACAGTGAAATATCTGGCGTGATAGTGAACGTGTTAATAAGTAAATGTTGTTCAAATTATGTTGTGTTTGATGTCATTTTCATCAGAAAAATCTCATCAGTATGTTAAGAAAAATTTCGGGATAAAAAAAGGTAAAATTAAAAAAGTTGGTGTTTAAATCGCTTGGTTGCCTCGACTCACGTTTCATCCTTATCTTTTATTCGCTGTCCTTGTCTACGTTCGGCAAACTACAAAGGCGGGCGCGAGGCTCGAAAACGTAGTCCCTGACTCTACAAGTGTCAGGTTTAGATTCCTTGCGGAATGACACTTGTGGAGAATTTACTGTACTTGTTACCTGGGTGGGTAAGCGTAGAAAGGATTTCTAGATTATCTCTATTTTTCGTAAACGGGATGTTATATTTTTGAAAGGTCATTCAACTATTAATTAACACGTTCCGCGCCAAGCCGTGTTTGTGCAAGTGCCGTTACCAGTTTGGTAAATATGTAAAAATTGTAAATATTGAAACTATAAAATGCACTATAGAACAAACAAATAACTCTATTGATATTGAAAATATACAAGAATACTTGCCAACGTGGCACGGAACGCGTTAATAATACTATTTTTTTTAACCCTTTCGCTACGGCAGATTTAAATGCGCAACGTGGGTGAGTGGCGGTAAATTTTTAACCACGATTGCAAAATTTGTTATTTTGGCCGTATTGTTTTAAAATTCGATTTATTAAATTAAGACGGGCGTGCTTGAGTATAAAATTATGTATTAAATTAAGGTGAAAGTGCAGCGAAAGGCTCAAACAGTATAACGCGAACAAATTTTCAAAACGCCTATACGCGCCAATAGTTATGAAAGGGTTAAAGACTTACTGAAAAATGTAGTTCGATATATTTAGACAAAAATTACTTCTCTCGTGTATAAACAAACAAATTGTACGATGGGTCAGACATGACCCGGCTCTGCTTTTCGCCCGACGGTTTAACATACTTGACGTTCTGCTCGAATCTCTCTCTCTCTCGAGCTAAATTATGGAAAGGTTAATCGATAATGAGGACACGCGTAACAGGTTTCTAATTGGACAGAGTGTCAAAAGTTGATATAAGATTTAAAAAGAGCGTGGTATTTAGAACGTGTTTCGTTATCTGCAGGCTTACGTGGGGAATTACACGTCAGAATGGGACTTGGTCGGTGCAAGATTCCGAGATGAAATGCCAATCTCACCGTGGGATGCAATGCGATATGCCTGGGAGGCCTGTGAGGCGCTTCTTCGCGACAAAATATCGGTATCTTGGTTGAGGAGACCTGAAGGCGATCCTCATGCGCGCTGGGACGTCGCGGTCCTCGATGGCGCCTATCCCGAGTGCCTTTTGGGCATCCTTCACGGAGAGGATGTGCCCACGGTTATGTTAAACACGGTAATAATCGATCTCGCTCGAAAATCGTCGTTCTAATAGCAAAGTTACGGAACTGTAAAAACCGAATTTTTCAGAAGAGAAGATTTTTGTGAAAAATCACCTTTGCACTGATTTTATCCACGAACTGAGAAAAAGGAAATATAAATGGTATAATTGCTAAAAGAAATAAGTAAGGAAAATAAATGCAAATTGCATAGTTGGTGGATTAAATCAGTGAGATAATTGACAAAGTGGTTTTCTTCTACCTTGAAAAGTTCCATTTTTTCAGTTTCGCAATTTTAGCATTGGTTCAACGAAATATTTCCTCTGGTTTATTTCGAAATGCGTATATTAGATTAAAATATGTAAATTAAATTTACCTAAGTTAAATTACCTATCGTAAATTAAATTACACGATATGTCCATCTAGTTTGACTAGTTTTGGATATGCAGGTGTCAGTGCATCTGTAGCAACTTCATTATTCAGCACAGTTCATAGATATTAGGACACTTATTTGAACATAAAGCAGACGTAAATAGTCGCAACAAAATTGTTAAGATCCCGAAAAAATGGTTCAGTCTAAAATCTCATACAATGAGTACCTACGATAAAACTTTTAAATATCTGTTTCCATTTAAGGCGTAGTCATAAAAATAAGATCCTGATAGTGTCATTTGATTATACCGCACCAAACATTGTCACAAAATTCAGCTTGAATATTAGATTTTGTAGGTTAGGTTAGGTAAAAAAGAATTATAGCTATCAATTCAACAAAATTTGTGATATCGTTATTACGCGAAAACCATTGCAAATTTCAAAAATCTATTCAAGCCATCGTGTTATGCGTGAAAAATAACGAAACTTTATCCTACGAAAAGAACGCTAATATTCTGAACACCCTGTATATTTTTACTAATATACGGTACTAATTGTCGCGAAGCAATGTCATTTAAATCATACAGTACCTTCTGTACAAGTATTATCAAATTTAAATGTCATTTCTTCGCCAAAGCATGATAGATGGCTTAATACTTACGAACGGCAGTGTAAGTTTGAGGACGGTATCAATTGATCTAACCTACTGATTCTAAAACTATCGATGCAATGAAAATTTCTGGTAAGACAAGTATCATCATTTCACTTGACTCAATCACAGGTGGCACTGTACAGTGGTTCGATATCTCTCCAAGGAAATCCATCGCCGTGGTCAGTGACACCTTACTTCGGGAAATCGGTCACACAAGACATGAGCTTCTCTCAAAGAATCTTAAACGCCGCTTACCTCACCACCTTGAGGATAATGCACTGGATCATGATCAGTGGGTATCTACAACCGGTTCTGAGGAAATACCTAGGTACGGTACATTTCTTTCATTTTTTCCCATCGATCGATTTCACTGATGGTAATTTCCCCTTTTCTAAGAATCTCGTTTCACAGGGGATCAGTTGCCCGATATTCGAGACCTGACCACGGAGATTCCACTCACCCTGCAGAACAGTCATTACATCGTGGCTGATTCGGTTCCGTACTTGGCGAACGTTGTGAACGTCGCGTGCCTTCATTGCAATCCGGCGACACAGCTCAGCCCTGATTTGGAGACCTTCTTACAACGCGGTGAGTCGATCCTCTAACACGACGTAGGATCGTTAGTTGGAAATTACGTTCGTTTGCCGACGAGGCTGCTAAGTCGGTTGATCGGTTGGGAGAAAGCGGGGACAATGGAGGTGTGTTGCTCCAGGGAGGACTATTTGCTGAACAGAGTGTTTGGCATTTCTGTTATGGGAAAAGAGTGGAATCGCGTGTTCGACTTTTGCAATCGCCAACCGGTAACAAAAGACACTCTGAATGGGGACTATTCCACTGAAATACAAGAAAAGGCAATTTTTGAGCTTCTATAATTATCAAGGAGGCAGGCGCAAGAAGAGCGTGACTGTAGAAAACAGATTTTAAGGAAGTACCAATCAAAGAATACCTATTACAATAATATTTTTGCCATTTGAAAAATTGATTTTACAATACTGAAAATTATTTTGTAAATTTCTCTGTGATGCGCTAGAGGTGTTCAAATTGAAAAAAAATATGGTCACATTCCTTGAAATTCTACCTACAAAATAAGCTTTTCTGCAGGATGGAGTCTTTAAAATTAGTGTCACAAGGAGCTGGAAAATGACTGATGTACCCCCGTTTTAGGGAAACGAGCCAGACGCCCTGCTATTACAGTCAGTTGTCCGTACATAAAATCAATTTTTCAAATAACAAAAATATTATTACAATAGGACCACCCTTCTAGATTAGAACAAAACAAAAGTGAGTTCAATTTGTCAAATAGTTTTCGAGATAAAAATTGATAAGCACAGCCTGGTTTTATAAAAATGGGCAAAAATTGTCAAATTCAAAGGTCCGTGTTTTTTAAACAAATTCGAAACCAGCTAAATGATGACTTAAACCCCCCCTAATTTCACGTGTACTACGTTATATTTTATTTGGAACAAAATCCCCGATGTCGACGTCGAAAAGTGATCGATTTGACGTGAAATCACCCGTTTATAACTTCACAACTTTTTATAAACCAACATATATGGGTCGATCGTTCTCAAAGGTTTAAAGTGTAACTCAGTTAACGGGTTAAAAAAAGAGTACAATGAAAATTTCAAATCAATTACCACTAAATTATTCCTACCAATAACAATTTCCTTAAAAATCTAACAGAACACGGTTCTTTCATTCCGATCGGTTCGAAAATGAGGCAACAAAAATTCCTCCGTCTCATCTAATTACATTCCACGTCCAAACTCGTACAGACAAGCCTATAGCCCGTTATATGACGAACGAGTTTCTAGGCCAAGTCGAATTTCCCTCTAAAAGTAGTTCGTCACAACGATAATCGAAACGTGGCCGCAGGTTTCATCTTCGTTTCCATGGGTTCGTCGGTCCGCGCGTCAGGTATGCCAGAGGCGCTTCGTCAAATCTTCGTGGCAGCCTTTGCCACGCTTCCGTGCAACGTCGTGTGGAAATGGGAAGGCGTGAAGATTAAAGATCTGCCATCGAACGTCAGAACGGCAGCATGGTGGCCTCAGCAAGAGCTACTAGGCCATCCTAAACTCAGAGCGTTCGTCTCTCACGGTGGTCTCTTGTCTTTGCACGAGGCAGCTTATCACGGCGCACCGACGCTCGTTTTGCCCGTTTTCTGCGACCACGATGGAAACGCGGCACAAGCTGGTAACTACATTTCCAATTAACGCTCTTCGAAACGGAATTTAATACAAATTGTAGTAAGTCTTGTTCAATGCGGTTGCAATTCCGACGTAACGCGGTCTGCAAATTATATTAGGTGTACAAATTACAGTAAATTCTCCACAAGTGTCAGTCCGCAAGGAATCTAAACCTGACACTTGTAGAGTCAGGGACTACGTTTTCGAGCCTCGCGCCCTCCTTTGTAGTTTGCCGAACGTAGTCAAGGACAGCGAATAAAAGATAAGGATGAAACGTGAGTCGAGGCAACCAAGCGATTTAATACCAACTTTTTTAATTTTACATTTTTTTATCCCGAAATTTTTCTTAACATATCGATGAGATTTTTCTGATGAAAATGACATCACCGTTTGACTGACACTTGTAGAATCGGCCCTACATTTGACTGACATTTGTAGAATCGGCCCTACATTTTTTTTACGTGGAGGTAGGCCGACATTAAATTAATTACTCAATGAGTATTAATAAGTTAATGTTGTTCAAATTATATCGCGTTTGATCTCATTTTCATCAGAAAAATCTCAGCAACATGTTAAAAAAAATTCAGATGAAAAAAAGTAAAATTAAAGAAATTATATCTTTCTATTATGAATTGTCGAGCCGTGAAATCTCGTAAAAGAAACCGAGTGGTGACATAGCGAGTGAGATAACATAGGCGCAGCAATGACGCAGACCTAGGCGTAGGACCATCTATACTGTCACTTGTAGAATCCAAACTGGCTGACACTTGTAGAGAATTTACTGTAATCAGCTGTAACTTTACTTTCAATTGAATCTTTTTTCCCGCTGTGTTAGAGTTCTAAAGTTGCTTCTATTAGCAAAACAAAACACTATCGGACTCGATGTGACTAATGACATATCCTAAGAAACAGTGGAGAACACTATGTCGTCGGATAAACAGCATACATATTAGACACTGAATCCTTTTTGCATTTCAACTTAAAAAATGTGCTCTTGAAGCGAAAGGTCTTTGGGATGGGAAATTCTGCCTCATGCGGCTTATTCCCCAGACTTAAGACTATTATCTCTTTCGTTCACTTCAGCACCATCTAACCGATTCAAAATTCAAAACATACGAAGATGTGAATAATAGCATTGCTGACTTTATACGTTCGAAACCGCCATCATTTTTTCGAAAGGAAATTCGCCAACTGCCTGAGAAATGGAATAAATGTATAGCAAGTGATGGAGATTATTTCCAAGTCTGAACTGTAGTCTGTTTTTTTTTTAAATAAATAACAAATCCACGAAACAAAGGCCACGAATTAATTTGTACACCTAATAGTAACTCTTGTTGAACGGGGTTGCAACTTCGATGTAACACGCTTTGCAAATTATAATAACCCTTTATCTTTTCGTTATTTTTTTCACCGCGCGGCCTAGAAATCAAATTTGATCTTCGTTAAATCGAGTCTGATCTGATTGTGAGTCTCGTATAACGCGGCATTTCTATGGAACCTATTTAACATCCGTGTTATAGGAGAACCTGTACACGGTTTCAAAAATAATGAAATTATACGAAGTTTGATAAAATAACAGTCATAGATAAAAAAGAGTCATAGTACTTTATTGATAAACAATTATTTTAAATTAAAAATTTCAATGAGTTCTATTTTAAACATCGCGGAGGTGGAAAAAATGTGAATTTCGAAAGGTATGACTTTTCGATATAAAGTCAACACTTTTTTTTTTGTTCCATGAATTTGGTTCTAGTTTTCAAGTACTGAAGTTCTGTTTCTTTACTTTTTTAGGATTCTTTTTATCCGTATCGAAGTTGCGTATTATTATTTTGAAACTGAGCAATCTTTTGTTTTTTTCTTGCTCCACGAATTTAGTTCTATAATATCTTTTAAATAGAATAGAATAGAATAGAATTTTTTTTTTCTTATTTTTTACGTCTTTTTTTATCTGTCTGATGATTTTGCGTATTATTCCCGGAATATGATTCTATTAATATTTTCTTAAAAGATTAAAATTTTTCCGTATTTTTATATCAAAGAATTTTTATATCGAAACATTTCAATTAAATATTGTTCATTATTTTTCTTCTTATATTGAGCTGCTATATCAGCTACACAAACTTAATTTATTATACAATCCAGAATATCAATAATTTCTCCGTTAAAGAAATTGTTAAAAGCAGTAATTACGTCGATTAATTAGCAAATAAATTGCTCAGTAGTAAGTCTCGTTACTTTTGGATTAGACATATATAAGCAATTGTTCAATTTTTTTCTTTAATTTTTGCAATTTTAAGAAATGAAAGAAATGGCGGAACAAAAGGAAGCCTTACTTTTTCAAAAGATAAAATTAGAGACGAAAAATTGTGTTTTTACAGTTGGAGATCTTGCAATTAATTTGTTCACTACTTTATCACGTGATCTTTAATGGTACTAAAAATTCTAGAAAAACTTGGCTACGCCCTGGTGATGGACTTGGCGAGAATATCTATCGGAAGCCTTCGCGAAGGAATCCTCAAGGTGGCTAGCGTGAACAACAATTCATATCGAATGGCAGCGAAAAAGAGAAGTTCGTTGCTGCGGGAACTGCCAATTAGCCCGAGAAAATTGGCTATCTGGTGGGTGGAGCATGTTGCTAAGTACAAAGAATCAGAACATTTGAAGAGTTCCACAAGGTACGTCGAATTACCTCAAAATCTCTTGTACAGCTCGAGTACGTGGAATATTTAAAAGAATTCATCTATTTCAGATATATGAGCGTAATTCACTATTATTCCATTGATGTGGCAATATTTTATGTGATAACGTTGATACTACTGGTGTACGGGCTGAAGAAATTGTGCTGGAGAACAATATTCAAGCAAACTGTTATTAAAAAGAAGATTGACTAGACTGAACCGGTGTCAATCTTGTCTTCCGTGAAGTTTCTACATATATATTTATTACGTCTAATGCCTTTTATGGTATATGTATGTACTTTTGCAATTTGAAATGCTGACCATGTAAAGATATTGAAATTATGATAAAAATGTTTTCTTAAAATTCCTATCATAATAGAATTAATCTAAAAGGTAAATCATCTGTTCGTTTCAAATGAAAAAGAAACAAATTATTCTTGAGAGACGATCGAGCGACATAAAAGTACAGGAAACGATAATATCGATGGATAATAAAGGAAGTCGGTAGAACAGGATACTGCATTAACTACCGTTGCTGGTGCAGGTACAGAAGTGAATTTAAAATGGCACACGATACTGCACGTGCTCACGTATGGCTTGTAAATAATACTTGAAAATGTACGAAGAAAATTTTTCAAAGAAAAACAAGAAAATTCTTTTAAAAAAATTAATCAATTAAACAAGATTGAAAAAATTTCTACAATTCTGTAACATAAACATTTAAATATCGAATAAAAACGTGGTGCCTCTTATTTACATGCTTTTTGCATAATTACAATCAATCATGGGCAAGAGAAACTACGTATCACGGATTCATTAGTCACTCCAGAACATGATTATTTCCTTGTACAACCTACCTCGAGATGAATGTAAAAAGTAATTATCGTTACTACAGTAAAATATCCCAGAGGAAAACTCAACAGCGCAACAAAGAGTTGCAAAAACAAGTTTTTACTAATACCTAGGCACGCGACACGCAAACAACACTCATGCATACACATTTCTATTTCCCCACCAAACTAAAGGACGTCTGTCTCGTCCGCGGCACTTGCAGGCGACCCGTCAAAACTTAACCTATCAGCTCTGCTCTCCACAAAAGTGGGCGTTCTAACAGTACTTCTAACGACTCAGACAAAAGCCATTCTTTCCATAGAGAACAATGGTTTCGGTCATAGTTGAATGGCTCGTCCCATTGACCGCAGCTTTAATCACTTTACGGTCTCGAAATGCTTCTGAATAAACGTTCACCGAGATTGGACGACCGCAGACAACCGAGGGAGGGGCTTAAGCGTGACAGGTACGGTCCTGAGCTTAGTTAAGGGCTCTGCACGAACGGCGGCGCATAAGTCGGATTCTCATCGAGACACGAGGAGGCTATTCGTATTTCCACGACGCTTCTTAGTCTGTGACCCGTGGCGAAGTCGGCGCTCGATCGTGATCCGATCAGTACCAGCTGACTCGTTCGTCAGAATGTTGGTGCGCGTTCTGTTAATGCGTTTCTGAGGGGTACAGTCCCTATGTACTCTTCTCACAAGTTTTTCTCTGGCAATCGTTCGCGTTAACCGCGTGTGTACGCTCGGTGTACACAAGGTAGGCGAGCAAGCACGAGCTCTCGGTGGTGTGCACGCGAAACAAAACAACAAACCGAGAGGTAAATGTGCTATGTGCGCTGGAATGTGGATGGTGTGTGTGTGTGGTGGCGATGGCGATGGTGAAGCTCGCGGTGTTTTGAAGGGACACGTTTACCCACGTGGAACGCGGTGCCAGTTTTCGGCGTGACTCGACAACTCGTTCCGTCGTCCGGGCAGACGAAACGCGAGCGGATGAGCGAGAAAGGGAGAGAAGAATTTACGGGACGACGAGACGAGAAACGAGAGAGGACACTTGAGCCGACGACGACTTAGCGGAGACAGAAGGGGGCATACAGAGAGAAAGAGAAAGAAAGAGAGAGAGTGAGAGAAAAGGAGACGGGAAGAAAGAAGTGGAACGAGTGTGAGCGAGGCAGAGCAAGGAAAAAGAGATAGAATAAAGAAAGACGCATAATCAGCAGAGTTGTCTGTTGTGTGTTCGATCCGCGAAAACACGTGGGGAGCGACGCCAGGGTGTTCCCCCGTGTCAACGGACGTCCCATGGTCCACTGCTACTAAACGGGAGGATTAGTCGCGGAATAGAATGTCCCCGGCGTGTGTGTATCTTGACAATCAATCGATCGTTCCTCGGCGGGGCGAAGGTGCACGAGAGAGGAACACTTGGAAAACGGCATCCTGTCGCACGGATATGCGCGAACGGTGAATGATGCTGCGCACACGAGTGTGTAGAGTTTCATATGGTGGCGCGGTAGTACGTAGCCGTTTCTCTGGCAGTGGCAGCGGCGGGGCCCGTCGATGACCGGAAAACAAACGGGCCGAGGTCGGGGCCGAAGTCCTCCGTGCGAAACGCCGCTCTGAACACGCGCACAATCGACCAATGCGACAAACAACAAACGCCCTATGGAAGGAGAGCATGGAACACCGCTGGCGTCGTATGTCTGCTGCTGACGCGACGACGCTTTTACCCTCTTGCGCTCGCCTCTGGCGCGTGACGTAATCCATTCAAGCGCTTACTACGCAATACGGGACGCGGGCAGCACCAGCCGCTTCTCTCTCTCTCTCATCTTGTGTCTGTCTCTTTCTCCTGCTCGGTCTGCCTCTATGCTTCCCCCTTTCTCGCGTGCCCCCCTCGTTTCTTCGCTGTGGAGCAACCCTTCTTTTTCTTATCACCCGACAATGGCGACGGGAAAGAAAACGGTCTCGCGTCGTGCTCGTGCGTCGCAATTATAGTTTCCTACCGACCGGTTTCTCCTTTCGTCCTTACCTCGTGGAACCAATCGTGTGTATCCGTGTGTGCGCTCGTGTGTTCTGGCACGTGTCCTCCCGTGTTCTGTTTTTCGTCGTTTCTCCTCGCTCGGTGTATATATTACTACGGAGAATTCGGGAAATTCGACGATGACGAACGACGATCGAACGATTTCAGACCACGAAATTTCGCGCTCGCGACCACCCTTTCTCTATCCCCACTCCTAGCGGTCGCCCTTCCCCTACCGCGCAGCGAGTTTTCTTTCTTAGAGCCGCAAGTGAATTACGCGTTCTAGCGCCGTCAAACGTCGAGTTGTTTGTTGTGTCGCGTGCTGTGTCTACGTGTGCTCTTTCGAACGCCTGACGTGTGAATACTCGCAGTTTGCAGTGTCGTGTTTCGAGAGCGTTTTAACGCGTTCTCCCTTTGAACGGGTTTTCGATTATTTGTCGAAAGTTCAAACAGTTGCCAAACAAACTCTACGGGTAACTATCTACCGCGTAATAGTATTGAAAAGTAGTTTATCTTCCTTTAACCCGTTTCCAGTTTATACTGGAAACTTCAACGCCAGTACTGCGTACGTAAACAAACTCGATGTAAACAAAAGACTCGCTGCCTGTACTTTGTTGACAGTGGTAGGAGAGGGGGGACCCTCCCACGGAAAGGACTGTTCCACACGGTTTATTCCAGATCGTGTTGGTGAAAAATATACTGGGTGAACGTATGACAGATCGATTTCGCAAATTCGAATAGTTTTCCTATAGAACCTGACTCCACGATCGAAGTGCGACTCAACAACCTGTTCGGAAGGTGGGTAAGGTAAACAAGCGGCGCGTGGTCCGCGCACAGTCGGCTATGGTGGCGGTGTGCGCGATTCAACCTAAGGGGAGTGGTTCTTCGGTTTTTTGTTTCGCCGGGATGCTAACTACGCATTAGAAGCGGCCACGAATCGTTGCGTCCAGCGAAGGCGCGCGCAGCCTTTGTCCTGAATAATCCGTGAAGCGAGGTGTCGAAGGAAAAGGACGGAATTTCGTACGCGTGTCTCTTGTGAAATCCCTGCCGACGAAGCCTTGAAAAAGTTCCGGTTAAGCGGCCGATGGAGAAAAAGTAGAATTAGCGTGTGCTCTCGTGTGTTTTGTAATCGGACACGTTACACTACCGTCGCGCATCGATCGAACCCGCGCGTATACGTGTTCCCTCTTCTGTCTCTCTGTGTACCTGCGTATACGTGCACGTGTACATGCGGTGTGTAGATGGATATATAATGATTTTTCCTGCTTTTTCACACTAGCCTGTTTTATTTATTTACGCAGTGATTTTGGACTATCGGCATGACGAGTAATGTGGGACACGGCAGTGGTGCTTCGGTAGTGTTGATTGTGTTATCGGCGTGTCATCATCATTGTCAGCGTCATTGGGGACAAGGAAAGGCACTACGCAATTAGGAATGTACGTATCTATGGGACATGTAAGTATTGGCGCGTGAAAAGTTACGAGCACGTTCCTCATTTGGCCATTCGAATGGTTTCCGCGATAATTACGCGCAACAAGCGACCGTGTCCCATGCACGTTCGAATCGCGTGCCGTCCAAAGTGTGTCGGGGAGAACGCTATTTGTTACGGCTACGTCTAGACGTGGATTTTTTCGGAAGAAAACTATCCCGATAATGCTTTCTCGATTAAATATTTGGGTTAGGCTAATTAATTTACTTTGGACTTAATGAGCGATTCGAAGTTGTCAAATTTGTTTTTGGTGTCTCGAAAAGCTGCTGTATGGTTATATTGTAGCTGTCATTTTTTTGAGAGGGATTTTTTTTGTTTACTCGAAAGCTATTGTTCTCACGAGGCACGCGATATTTGTCACGTGCTCTCGCAGGAAGTATTCAACTTTGACTTTGTAACACTTGTTCCACGCGCGATATTGTCTGAACAATGTTTTGTCTGCCTCCCAGTGCCGCCGACGTGTTTTTTACACGCGTGAAAGAAGTGCGCGCGCGCGCTATCTCTACCACGTGTGCGTAGAGAAACACATTGTGTGTTCTCTCCGTGGCATTCGATTAGTTGGAAGCGATTGAATGCAAAATAAGCATATGCGCGCGCGCTATTCGAGGAACGTAATGGTTGCTGCGTGAGCTTTTGCGTTGAAGATCCGGTTTAGAAATCCCGGAAATCTTAATTAGGCGTAAACATGACGCTCAATTAATTGAACGACCAATGGAATGTGATGCTGGTTGTGAACGGAACATCGATAAACAAAATTCAATTAATTAATCAATTATGCAACGAAGTTATGGACGAGCGTGTGTGTGTGTGGTATATGATAATACAGATCATAAAATTTCCAACGAAACATATCGACGAGTATTGCTGAAATACGGACGA